TGATTTGATTCAAATATAACACGTTAAACCATTGGAGGCTATTAAAGTGAAGCAAACACACAACACGTGGTATCCATAATTGTGGAAACAATTATGTTGGAAATAACTCTCTGTCTGTTGCCAGTAGGCTTATGGTTTATTCTTTCCAAGCCAAGTTTAAGATAAAAGCTTATAGTTATACTCTAAAGTATACATGAAACCATTGAAGTTGTCAAGAAGAAGAGAAAGCAGAGGGTGAAGGAGGAAGAAAGGACCGTGTCCTACCTGAGGCTGACAGAAAGCACACCACAGCAACACTGTCCACCCTGGTATTCCAGAAATGGAGACAGCTGGACATGTTTTGCGGCCATTTGCTCTTGTTCTCTCTTCTTCCCTGCTTAAAATAGCTGCTCTCTGAGGTCTGTAGAGCTGTGGGATAATCTTATTATAGTGGGTCCAACTCCTAGCTAGCACACTTGTCCCATTTCTCAGGGGGGCTGCAGCAGCCTATGTTGTACATGGGGGCATGAAGAAATTCGTGGTATGACCACAGAACTCCAGGGCAAGCAAATTGCAGCAGCTTACCAAGTTTCCACCTATTAAGTTATACTGAGCAATTGCAGTAATTCACATGTGTGCTCTTAATTTTTACAGCACAAACAGAATTCCATTAAGTTTCCATCACCTAAATTAGGCTCTCACAGTACCGTGCAAAAATCTACTCAGATTTTCTTCATCTTTGCCAATGCGATGACTTCGGTTTGTAATAAAGCAGGCTCCAGTGAAATTAGTTACCTTTTGATTCTAGAGAGTGTGGTTAAGAGTGTGAAGTATCTCAGAGCTTTAAAGATTTCTCTTTAAAGTATCAAAAGGCGATAATGTTCTCATCAGAAATTTTTACATTTGCAAGGCTGAGGGTAGTGGGATAACGTAATTTAAAAAAAGAACATTGAAGAATGACAAGAAGCATTGTACTTTGTCATTAAGAACAGATGGGGACTAATGAATAGTATTGTGGACAAAGCCAAAAACTTGAGAAAAACGGAGAGGGACACCGGCAAGAAAATCACATGTAGTCAAAGACTGAAAAGAAAAATGCGCATGCGCCCTGTCTGTTTCCCTAGGGAAAAAAGCAGTCACCTGTGACCTTTTGTGGAAGCTCTTAAGTCTAGAAAGGGATAGGAAGCAAGTGTCTAGGAATGAGG